GCTTCTACTGCGAGGCGTGCGACCTGACGTTCAAGGACAACCTGCAATTCGTGGAGCATCTGAACACGATGCAGCACTTGCTCAACACGGGCCAGACAGCCGAGGTCAAGCGCGCGACGGTGGCCGAGGTGCACGACCGCATCGCCTTCTACATCCAGCGCAAGCACGACCTCGAGAAGGAAAAGGCGACGAGCCTGCACGACCGGCTACAGCTGCGCGAGGAGGAGATGGAGAAGGAGGCCGAGGAGCGGCGGCAGAAGAGGCGGGCTGAAGCTGAGAAGAAGCGTCTGCAGCGCGAGGAGGAGGCCAAGGTCAAGGTCGAGTACGGCGACGACGTCAGGGTTGAGGGCGAGCACGACGAGGACGACATGATGGCCCAGATGGGGTTCACGGGCTTTGGGACGTCCAAGAAAAGATGATGAGTGGGAAGGAAAGACGAAGTGAACATTCTTGATACCCGCATGGATAGCGAAACCAGGTTGGCGCCGCCTTGGATCGATCTGTGATGAGACGTGAGGCAGGCAAGGGCAGGGCGTTTGATCTCTTGAGCGATTGAATACATAGATAGATGGGCTTACTCGGAAATTGTCGGCATGATTGTGCCGGCTTCTATGTCTTATCCTGTACACGGTCATATCTTGCGAAGACGGTCTCTTTGCTGCGAGTACGCAGTAGCTGGGCGACGACCTCACTCTCCTGCGGCTGGCTACGGACCCTTGGGTAGCCCCGGTGCTGGTGCCGGTCAGCCCCTCAGCGGGGCCGTTGCTGCTGCCAGCTCCCACCCGAGCTCCTCCCAAACGTCGAGCCTCTCGGATCGCAACCCCACCATCCCTCAACTTCTTCCCTGCCCAGCGCCCTCCCACGACCAGCCCTCCAGGCCGACGACATCGAACGGATACCGCGCAAACGGCCTACAAGTGCCTGACCAGGACCCCCCTCAAGGCCCGACATCCCTCTCCTGCATTGACACCCGCGCCTGCAGACGCGGACGTTTCGCCTCTTGCCCCTCCCTCCGTCCGTCCCCTCCATCCGAGGCCGCATCCGATTCGCGACACACAGCCTACACCGAAAGACGGCACCGCCCGGCGTATCTTGCTTGAAAAGTCCACCACCCCCGGCCAGCCATGTCCGCCACATCCGCTGCCGGCTCGCTGCTGAGGCGGCAGCTCAAGGAGATGCAGGCGAACAAGGATCTCCCCGGAATCTCGTGCGGGCTCGTCAACGACGGCAACATCTTCGAGTGGGAGGTGATGCTGATGATCAACGACGACTGCAAATACTATGGCGGTAAGTTTATATCTTGCCTCGCCATTCAACCACCTCCTCCTCCCCCTCCTTTCATCCCCTCGCCGACTGCTCCACCTGCTAGGTAGATCTCTGACTGGGAGTACGTACAACAGGAGGTAACTTTCGCGCCCGCATGGTCTTCCCGCCCAACTACCCGCACATGCCCCCCACGCTCACGTTCCAGCAACCCGTGCCCTTCCATCCCAACATCTACGAGTCCGGGGCGCTGTGCATCTCCATCCTGCACCCTCCCGAGGAGGACGAGTACGGCTACGAGGCCGCGTCGGAGCGCTGGAGCCCCGTCCAGTCCCCCGAGACGATCCTCGTCAGCACGCTCAGCCTCTTCCACGACCCCAACGATGAGAGCCCCGCCAACGTCGAGGCTGCCCGCCTGTTCCGCGAGGAGCGCGAGGGCAAGCACAAGGAGTTCCGCAAGAGGTGTCGCAAGTGCGTCCGTGAGAGCCTGGGCGAGGACTGAGACCCCGTGGCCACCGATCAGTTCGCGACAGACGATGGGGCTGGATAGGCGGAGAATGGGCATGAGCACAGCGTACGGGGCGTTTGTTGTTTGAGAATGGCAGTAGCGGTACTCCCCGCTGGAGGAGGTGCATCAGTTGGTGTCTGGAGCTATGTGTTTAGCGTCGTAAGTATATCAAGACTGAATATGCATTGACAGTCACTCTTTGTGAGTCTTCGGCGGCGGTGAGACTTTGGCATTGAAACCACTCGGCTATGGTTCCGAAACTTCTATCAGCGGCGCCACGACCCGATCCCACTCCTCGTCCCACCTGAGCGACCCCTCCTTGACAGCCCCCTTCTTCAGATGCGCGAGCTCCGCCTCGCCTTCTGCGCTGAACAACCGGCGCAAGATTTCTGTCAACTCTGCCGACGTCTCGAAGCCGCACCCGTTCTCGCCTTCCTTGACGAGCTCACCGAAGCTCTCAAAGGCCGAGTATGCAGCGACAGGCAGCCCCGCGCCAAACATGTCGACGACCTTCATGGGCAGGTCGACCCCCGAGCTCGATTTATGCAGGGAAATGCCGAGGTCGGCTGCGGATAGCAGAGTGGCGTAGTCGCGGTTGGAGAGCCAGGCTGTCAGAATGCGCATCCCCGGGAGCTTTCCGCCCTCCTGCAGCTCCTTGATGCGCTCCAGGTACTTGGCCTTCTCTGGGCCCTTGCCGGTGATGATGGCGAGGATCGGCGACGGAGGTTCGGCCTTGGAGTCGACGTCTGGGTTGGCATAGGCGACGAGGGCGTCGAGGAGGATGCTGAAGTCTTCGTCTGGGGTCCAAGATGTGCTGCTGACGATGAGGCGCACGCTGCCATTGGCAATGTCCTTGGCTTGGGACTTTGTCTCTGGCAGTTTAGATAGGAAAGCCGCCCGGGCTTTGGCGGACTGGATGGGCTGAAAGATTTCAGCAGGGCGGTCATGTAAGGTGTAGACTGGGTTCCTGAGGTTGAAGCGGCCGCCTTGGAGCTGGCGGGTCATGGCGTCTGTCACGGCGAGGTTGGCGTTGCCGAGGAAGCGGCCGAACCCCATCTCATACCATCGGTAAATGGGCACGAGAGGCCCAAGGAATCTCTTCTGGCCCAGGATGGAGTACCCATAATTATGCCAGTCCACGACGATCTTGCTGCCCCGAATCAGAGAGACGAGGAGAGCTACATGGAAAGTCGGGATCGACGGCGGGTTCTGGAGGGTCAACAAGGGGTTCAGCTCAGACACACGGCGGAGGTCGTACCTGAATGATGATCCAGCGAGCTGGCGGCGCGGCATACATGAGGGTGTAGAAGAGGGTCCAGAACTGCTGAATGACTTTGGCGGGGAGGTTGATGAAGAAGGGCAGGGTGCCCCATGCAATCCACTCAGGGGTCGGTGAGAGGGCATACATGGTCACGCGAGGGTTCCCAATGAGGCCGGGATGCCTCGCCGTCTCTAACGTCGCGCTGTCAGTGTCAAGGATGAGAAGTCGGTCATCTGCTGCGCCAACCTTTGTATCCCACAATGTCAACCTGGCGCCCATGCTTGGCTACGCTGATGGCATGGTATTGCATGCGAGGGCTCCTGCCAATGTCGCCGAGCACGAGGACCTGGATATGCTCATCCTCAGGCTTCGCGGCTGGCCGGTACCGCGTCGGAATGGTGTCGAGGGCGCGGCGGCCCAACCACGGGAGCAAGGCAAACACATAGCGGAACAGGACGACTGTGGCCGCGCCGGCGAGGACAGAGGCCAGGAACGGGACAATCATGGCTCGACCCAGGCGGCGATTGTGCCGTCCAGATTATGAGCTCCAGCGACAAGGGCGAGGAGACGTGTGAGGTGAAGAAAGTTGCGGGGAGGCAGCAGCACGTGAGGTGTTGAAGTGGTGCGAACCGGCCAGGGCCCCGTCGTTGGGCGTTCTTATGTTGGTTTGCGTCGCGCGCGGCGAGGTGGCCGTCCTTGCCTTCCAAGATGGGATGGAGAATCCGATGGTGCGTCGTCGCCGGGCGCCAATCGCTCCGGGGCAATCGTGGGTTGACCGTCCGGGGCGACGAACCCGAGCGGCGCAGTGGCGGCGAGCTCTACGGGCGGGGCTCGGGCCGCTGTGCCCGAGGAGCCCCCGGCGAGGCCAGTTGTTGAAGTTCAAACCTCCATCAAGGCAAGGGGGCCCAATGAAGCCAGACGCTCACTGCGGTGCCTAAGGCTCCATCTGACGAACGCAGGTAACTCACTTTATCAATTTGCTCCAAGAAAATGCTCCCTGTTTCCTGCAAATGAAGGTTCCAAGCTGATGCACTTTAGCCCAAACGCATTTCACCATCCATCGTCCCAGGCAAGTTACCGGATCCATTGCTACGAGTCAAGATGTCCGCCCGAGAAGTGGCTGAGAGAAACAACCTCCCCGCCGAGTCGAGACCTTCCCTCGGGCTGTGCACCGAGCCAATCTGGTTTGGGACAGTTGCCAAGCGGACTTGTTGGACGGGACGATGTGTCGCGGCGGCCAGCACCTGGATCCATGGATGTTTCTCACTGACCTCCACCGCTGCGGGCTCGTGCCGGGAGCTTCAATGTTCTGCAGGGGTTGCAGCTTGGGGGGGCTCGGCAATTGGCCCGTGGTGCCCAAGAAGGGGCGCCCAGACAGCCGTCAG